ATGTAAGTCAGAACTGGCGGTCAGTTTCAGCAGCGGCTGAATCTGGACACCAGTTCTGACTTACATACAGATTCAACTTAAGAACAAACCTACAGTCCCTATCTTGTACGTTACCCGGGGACTGCCTGTAATTCAAATACAGTATCTGGAAATCTTATGCACTTGGGTAAAATTTCTAGAAGCCCTCAACATCATCCTAACTCTGCTTCTATCAAGGTCAATGGTATTGTCTTCATTGGGAGCAGAATTAGGCTAAATGTTGAGCATTTTTACACCCTCCTCCCCCCAACTCTTTTGCACATAAAACCCCGAGGTTATCTGGACTATGGCAGTGACTGCTGTCAGACTGTGAGCTTGATTTATTCCACTCTTGTGGAGTGGTCCAAACTGTTGTTCTCTGTGCTAGCAGGATTGCTGGGTTTGAATGAATGTTTCCAAATGTGTGTCTTGTCTTTCAGAAGCTGCTGAAGAAGGGCAGCTTTAAAGTACATTTGTGGCCTGCATTGGTGCTTTTCTGCCTGATTGCAAGCACCTGCCACCCATGTTGACCGCCTCCAATGCAACCTCATGCCAAGCACTGACCGAGATCCTGTGCCTGGATTTTATAGCAGAAGCAATCATCATAAGCTTCGATCAAGCTCCATAACTTTCAGAGGCAAGTAGAAACGACTCTTGAATATTCACTGATCACAACCCTGGTATCATTTAAAGCAGTACTGAAGGCTTGTTTTGATTTGTCCAGTTCATTTTATTCATTATAAGTTGAATGTTTCATATACAGTACAATTCAGACTCTGCAAATTTATTTGAGGGCTTCTTGCCTTACCTTTATACCATTTTTGCAGTTTTGTTTTCTAAATTTTGTATAGGCACTGTAGTGGGGTGGAGATGTCCCCCACTACCAGAGGGAAGAAAGTACCCCCTGGAAGCCACTTTGTGCACAGTCTAGCTCCACTGCCCTCACCTAACAGGAAGCTAAGGGGTGTGGCTTGGTCTATAAGAACTCTGCCCGTGAGCTCACTCAGGGGAGACAGAGGCCTGTCCACAGCTCCTGGATGACCAGGAGGCAGCAGACCTAGCCTGGGCCACCCACAGCTGCCTTCCACAGGGCCCACGAAGACTGCCCTGCCTGGGCTGCTGAGGCCTGGCCAAGCCAGCCAGCAGAGCTACCCTCTGACCCAGAGGAGCTCGGGGCTCTGCTGGTGCCTAGCCAGTCTGAGGACCTGCCTGAGCCGGAGGTCCTGCTCGATCCCAGAGGCCAGCGGACGCCTGAGGACTTGTCAGAGCTGAGGGACTGGCTTGAACCCCGAAGCCTGCTGGAACCCCGGGGCCTTGTGAACCTGCTGGACGCTGCAGGGTTCTGATCCACCGAAGCCTGGATTGGGCCGCCCAGACCCTGCTGGGACGACACCGCCCTTGACTCCCTGACTGACCTGCGGGAGACACAGGTACCTGCGAAGGGGGCCTTCCTGACGGACTTGCTGGAGGTACAGGTACCTGCGAAGGGGGAACTGAGAAGTGTCCCAGGGGGTAGCATGGGCTGAGAGCAGCCTAAGGTCAGCATGTTGCGGGCTGGAGCCCCTGTTGAGCCAGGAGCAGCTGCACTGCTGCATCCAGGGCCCCTGGGACAGGGCGCAGTGAGGGGGCCTGCGTCCCCTGCCACCCACCTACGGGGTGGCAGTCTCCCCCTTGACACTGCTGCAGGTGTGCTACCTGCCCAGCTTCTGAACCAGGAGCTTCCTCAAACCTGTGTGTTTGATGCCCCGCCCTGTCTCGGGGCCCGGGCCGGACCTCTTAAAGGGGCAGGACTAGGATTGCTGCCCTGCCCAGAACTGTGAGCTGAGAGACTTGATTATATGTTGAACTTCTTCCCCTAAGGCCCGGACCTGAAGCAAGGCCGGGCACATGAACTGTTACCTCTCACCCCAGCCTGAAGCAAGGCTGGCTATAGACTCACTGACTTGGACTATTTTAAGTCACGATAGTGCAGTGGGGTGGACTGGCCGCCCACTGCACCGGAGGTGGAGGAACCCACTCCTGAAGGTTTACCGACCTACAGCCAGCCCCTGGAAGGGGGGAGCTTAGAGGCTGTTTTGGGCACTGCCGGAGGGCAGTGTCCTGAAACCAATCCTGCCACCTGCCATCGGAGCTAATTCCCAGGACCAACGGCTGGTGTTGCTGTGGTGGTGAGTGTACCCCGTTACAGCACTTGTAGGACTGTGGGTATATAGCATCAAGAAATTATAATGATGATGATGATTATAATGGTAGTTTTTAATTATTAATTAAAATTACAATATACTTAGAATTCTTGAAAGGAAAATTGAATTTCAGAGTGGAATAATACATTGCACAGTAACTGAATTCGGAACCACATCTGTCTCTGATATAGTACCTCCCTAAATCATTACCCATGCATTCACCTCTTGTGCAATCACAGAGATCAGCACTGGCTGCAAGAATGGCTTACAAGTTATAGCTCTAAAAAGCAAGCAAAGGCTGTCCAATGTAATGGACAATGTAGATGGCGTAATGAGTGAATGCATTCATATCAGTTGACAGGAGGCATGAGTATCTGCAATAATGGCAGTTTCAGATGGTTACATTGTGTGTTCATCCAGCCTTGCCTACACACGGTTTTGATATAGATATACATACTACAGAATCCCTCAAAAGATAAGAGATGTAAAAAATTATTATAAAGGGAAACGATGTCTGGGATAGCTTAAAAAAAAGCTAGTGATCTTATGGACCACTCTTCAAGATTTCATGGTGCCTTAATTTACTATGTGAAGGCATATTAAATGAAAAATAAATGGGTTAATGACATGAGAATAACATGCCATTTAAACACAATGAGCTACATACAGGTTAGACCTCCCTGGTCCAGCCCTTCCAGAACTTGCGGACCAGAGAGCTCCAGCAGCTCCACTGTCTGCAAACTCTGTGGTTCCCTGCTCCACAGGCTCTGGTGGCCATGCGGGCTTCCCAGCCCAGCCAGCTGCAGGCTCTGCTGCACCACTGGCTAACTCAGCTTTGGGGCTCTCTAGTTCAGCAACATCTGTGGTCTTTGCCAGACCAGAGTGTCCCAGACCTCAGAGGTTGCTGAAGGTTGGGGGCATGGACGAGAAAAAATGGTATTAAACCACCTCTCTGTTTCCCTAACCCTTGGGGCTGCTTTAATTCAATGCTCTGTGCTGGCCATATCCTGTGGCAAGTTAGAGCAGCCTAGAGGCTACCAGTGGTTCTGATGTAGTTGAGACACAACAGAGCACAGCAGACCACTCGCCATGCCGTTTTTCCAAAGTCCCATCATCTTTTTTGCTCTCTATTACCTAAGACTTGCTCTAGGCTGGGGTGGTCCTCTATGTAAAAGTGCACACAACTTTCCTAATACTTGCCATGTCTACCCACACTGGTTTTTGGCTGCACTATGTCACTGGAAGACTGCAAAGTGTTATAGCACAGCCAGGGATCGGAAGTCAAAGTAAACTTTTGGGGCAAGTGAACTTCTGTGAGTTTGTCCTTAATCTTTCCCAAAATGGTATTCTCTCAGAGAGGGTGAAAATAAACAGGACTTTCATCCCTCTACAGCTTTCTTATCAAGACCAATTGAAAACAAAGGATAGTTAATTGCAGTAATTGCCTCACAGCTGCGCGTCATTTTGGCTTTTTAACCAAAACATCTGTCACCTCAAATGTTTAAAATGGATGTACTGCACTCTGTTTTGAGTTTACCTTGAAACTGTAATCCCATCATTTCCACAATACCTGAGGTTTAGGAGATAAACCTAAATTTTGTCTTAAGTCTTGAAGATGTTTTTTAATTCCTTTTGTGGACTGTGGTCCCCGTCTGTGTTTTTCTATCAATGTATCTTTCTTTCTTTTTTTCTTCTGGGAAGTATTAGGCAGAAATTAAAAAAAAAGAGGATAATGTTATTACATGATACCTTCTTCATCAACTCCTCCCCCCAACAAAAGCCACTCTGTTATTAAAATATTTTGGTGTTATTTACATTTGCATTTGGAAATCTTGACACAGTCTTATTGATCATAAATAATATGCTATTAAATGGCTTGTACTGTATTCTACATAAAGAAAACTTTATGATTGCTTCAAATCAATGTCATCAGAGATAAAACTGGATTAATATAAATCCTGCAAAGACTAAAACACATTTGCAGATTAACCCTGACCTCAGTTTCACCCCTCCCCCCATACTCTCTTTTTGCATTGATTTATCTAAACAAGGTCAGCTGGCTGCACACAATGAAATACTTCCTTTGTAGATCAATTAACAGACACCTGGACAGTATTCAGACCTTTGTTATGATCAGAAAATCCCATTAGTTGTTGCTACAGGTGACTATTGAATGCTTGATACCAACATGAATATTGCATCTGGAAATCTGAAGTAGATGGTCTGAAAAAGCCTGACAGCTATAAAACTCATGTGTGGAGTGGACTCCTTTATTGACTGATGCTATCTTTCAAATAGCAGGAATCTGCTCTAGCCCTTTGATTTAATATGATAGAAAATTATTTTGAATGATTGAAAGCTGAAAAGGGACTGACTCACCAAGAACTCCAGATGACTATATTACTATAGGCAGTAGCCTAAACGAGAAAGAGGGGCTCTCATTATTGTATTGCAAGTGAGAGAAATTGCCTTAAATACAATAAGGCTAAATTCATTTATATTGCAAACAAATTGAAAGAGCTTTATAGAAATTAGTAATCCCCAGGCTGGTTGTACACTATCCTGAGCTATTTGTTTGGATCATTCTTTGTTAGACTCCATATAGGGATATTTTTAGTGTGTTGTTGAAGCTGCTATTTCAGGTAGTGTTGGTTCCCAAACCCTTACCCCCAGAGATCCACATAATCAACACATGACTCAAAATTCAAAATTCTATGTATTTATGCAGCATTAGGGAAGAGGGAAATGATTTAGAGAAGGTGAGAATTCCTGAACTTCTGAGAGCCCTGAACTTGGGGCCAGAACTGAAATTAGAACCTTTGCTGAGTTTCCAAAGCAATCAGTGGGCAGTTTGTTCTTAAAGTGTGAAATCTTGACTCCATTAAGGTCCATGACAAAACTCCCATTGCCTTCAAGCAAGTAACTTTGTGCTTTCTCCTATGCTACTCCTTTTGCTTTGGAGGAGCTTCCTGTAGCCATCTACAAAATGAATTCACTATCTTCCTTCAAAATCCTTGTGGAAACTCTGCCACAATACCTACAAAAACTATAATACCTGCTTCGTTCTGAGAACACTGCCTATTGTGCTTATTAATACTACATTGTCTCCTTATATTCAGCTGTTGATCTGTATTGTATCATCTGCTGTCATTTATATTCATATTGGAAACCCTTTGGGTCCAGGACTATCTGCAGCGCCTACCTTAATGTGGACCTGGTCCATAACAAGGCTCTCTTTAGTTAATACAAATGATAATTAATCAAACCTTTCAAGGTTTTCTGATAATTGGGTAGTGACTTGATGTTCTGTGCTAATCATTCACTTTCTCTTTCTCTGAGGGGCTTTGATGCCTCTCCAGTGACATTTGAAGAACTGTGAAAGAAGCAGCGTGTGTTTTTCTCTGCTGACAGCGGAAGTAAGTAACACTTAAGATATCAAGACTTGTGTAACTTTGCTTCATGAACATACTATGAAGCAATGTTTCTTAGCTTAGACTGGTTGTCCTCAGACTACATCTGCCATGATTCAGCCTGGTCATGTCTCTTGCTGATTTGTTGTGATGCTTCATGGGAGCCACATAGCTTGGATGTATTACATGAGAGAGAATCTGGGCTGGGAACTCAATCCATAAATGAGAGTGGGAGCATGAGGCACTTAAACTACACCTTCATAAGGCAGTGTGGTGGCTCAGTAGCACATGTTTTAATGCAGACTTAGCCAAAATGAAACATTTTGTTTCACGAATATAAAAATGTTTTGTAGCTTCAGAGGGGTAGCTGAGCGGTAGTCTGTAACAGGAAAAACTTAAAAAGCAAATAGTATGGTAGGAATTTAAAGATTAACAAAACATGTAGGTGGTGATATGAGCTTTTGTTGGCACAACCCACTTTTTCAGGTGATGGAATGCTGGAAGTCCAGATCCAAGAATAAATAAGGAAACGAGGGAGGGGAAGGGGGGAAGAAGGAAAAAATATTGACGGGGAGGAAGAAAAAAAGACAGTGGGTAGAAAAGCTTTAGAGGGATAGCTGAGTGAGTCTGTAACAGGAAAAACTTAAAAAAAAACAACAAACAGTCTAGTAAAGTAGCATCTTAAAGACTAAATAGTTACAAGAGGCTGATAAGAACCATTAGTTAGCACTTGGAAAGGAAGATGACCAACACCAGATTCTAAACAGATATGAAGAACCATTAGCACCTTCATTGCTTAGTTTGCTTTAAAATGTTTTGTTTCAATCAACAATGATCAAAGCAAAATATTGCAACATTTCAGAATCAAAAGTTTTGATTTTTCAGTTTTTTTATTTAAAAGTCAAAAAATTCAATGGAAAGCAACACTTCTCATAGTGTTCCCCCCCCAAACCCCTGTTTTCTCTTTAAAAGATTTTGGCTGGTCCTACCCATCAGGCACCAGAAGCTTCTTCTGGAGTGGTGCACTTTTGTTTCCTCAAATCTGGATTGTGATTTACAAACCACAGGAAAGCTCTAAGTGGGGATTGGTAATTAAACTATATCTCTTTCCCCTCATTATAAGGAATGTAGTGACTGACTAGCACTTTATATCTAATACTGCTGGAGGGTTTGATGAGTAGTTGGCATGCATGCACTGCAATAGGATAGTTTGGAGACACGAATCAAATATTAATAATGATTGATTTGTTGGGTTTTTTTTACAGTGGTTAGTCAGATATAGAAGAGCAAAAATTAATCTGCCTTAAGAACCTATTAATGCTTCTAAATGTCAAGCATTTATATTTAAAATCAGTATTTTCTCATCATAAATATAATTGGATGGCATACTATGTCATTTGGTTACATATCTGGCTGTAGTCAATAGCCATTCTGAAAATGATTATTAATTTTTCAGCTTTTGACAAATGGTACTTAATTTTCTTCTAAATATGTGGAAAAGTTTGATTGGATGAACCAAACTATCCCAAATTGATTTCTTGAGAGCAAAGGAAAATATAGTCTGAAGAAATGCAGATTTTTTTCACTTTTGAATATATTTGTATTTGAGTTTAAGATTTCTGTAACTATATCCATTTATTGTCCTAGTGAGTGTGTATATATTCAGGATTATTAAAAACACCTCAGGAGTTTTCTTGCTTTGGGAAAACTGAACTTTGGACTCTGAATCACATTACTCTACAACTGAGTATCTTGTATAAAAGAATACTATGCTTATGATGTTTATAGAATAGGCTTGTTCTTTTCCATTCAGATGTGACATTATTATCATGCAAACTCTGCTATCTTTTGGATGTACAGTGGTAACAGAGCTGATAAGAGCCCATTTTATTCCCTTTATATTGGATAGCAGGCAATTTAAAGGACCTAGATGTGAGCAGGTATCTGTCCTCACTCTTTTGTCCTGGACATTTGCTTACAACAGTTTTGGTTGGGAGCCACATTTTTCTGTTGTCTCCAATATTCAGTGGGCGTAATACAATAAAAAGGAGAAAGATGGTGATGAAAATATAATTCTTCTGGAGTTGAAAATAATTAGTTGGAAATTCAGTTACTTTCTAAAACTTGATGGGTCAGCCCCTCAGTCTGTGTAAATTGGCACAGCTCCACTAACATCCATGAAGCTATGTGAAGATACACCAGCTGAGGATGCTAAGTGAACTACAAAAATATTCTGTGAATATTCATGTGAATTGTAAAATGAGTTCAGTTTAGCTGTGTTCTATTAAGCTCAGATTCTTATAATGGTTCTCATCACCATAGTAACTGTTTGCTGTCTGTGAATGTTCATGTGATTGACTTTTACTAGTATGAAAGCTTGTGCAACATGAATTTTAAGCTTGCACACTTGAATACTTGCAGAATGTGAAGTTTAAACTTACTTTCTGTGAACATTTACACTAGATTTTTTAATGAGTTTAATTGATTTAACAATATAATTTGACTTGTGTTCATTACAGTGAAACATCACAACTTAAATTTAAGTTGGCAACAAGAAGGTCAGGAAAAGTGTGGGACCCTTTCTGAGTGGGGAAGGAAACCTAGTGATAGTTGAAGTGGAAAAAGCTGAATGATTCAATTTTTTTTTGTCTTGGTCTTCACAGATAAGGTCAGCTTCCAGACTGCTACACTGGCAACACCATATGGGGGAGGAGGTGAGCAGCCTTAAGTGGCCAAAGAGGTTAAGAACAATTTGGAAAAGCTGGACTGGCAAATGTAGTGCCCATCTTTAAAAAAGGGAAGAAGGAGGATCTAAGGAACTACAGACTGGTCAGCCTAACAGTAATCCCTGGAGAAAATCATAGAGCATGTCCTCAAGGAAACCATTTTGAAGCACTTGGAGGAGAAGAAGGTGATCAGGAACAGAAAACATTGGATTCACCAAAGGCAAATCATTCCTGACCAACCTGATTGCCTTGTATGATGAGATAACAGTCTTGGGAGGGCTGGGAAGTGGTGACATATATCTTGACTTTAGGAAACCTTTTGATATGGTCTCCCACAGTATTCTCACCAATCAGTTAAAAAAGTATGAATTGCATGGATGGACTAAAAGGTGGATACAAAGCTAGATAGAACATTTGGTTCAATGGGTAATGATCAACAGCTCAATGTCTAGCTGGCAGTTGGTATCAAGTGGAGTGCCCCAGGGGTCAGTCCAGGACCCAGTTTTATTCAACATCTTCATTAATGATCTGATGATGGGATGGATTGCACATTCATGGATGACACTAAGATGGGGGAGAGGAAGAGGAGCAATGCTCTAGGTTGGATATTGGGAAAAACTATTTCACGAGGAAGATGGCGAAATAGTGGAATGGGCTACAGTGGAATCTCCGTCCTTGCATGTTTTTAAACCATGCTAGACAAAGATCTGACTGGGATGATTTATTTAGGGTTGGTTTGAGCAGGCTGGGATTGGATTAGATGACCTCCTAAGGTTTCTTCCAACCCTAATCGTCTATAATTCTAGTATTCTAAATTTCAGTTTTCAAAGAGGAAGTCACAGAGTAAATTAAATATGCCAAGCATCTAATTGAATAAAGAATACATGTGAGAAAATTGCTAGTTTCAAGCAGAAAAAATGTTAAATTCACAAAATAAAATATTTATGAGTTGCTCTCTGATTTCTATTGGTAGATCTAAAAGTCAAAAGACAAATAGAGTGAAATTATATTATTGAACATTACCTGCATATCACAAACTCTTAATGACCTACTGACCTCTGTCCACTATCTCAGAATGACTGTGGTGACTGACGAGTACCAGTAAAAGCCACAACAGCATGGATCATGTATGCAAATGTTAAAAAGACTACAATACTATCCACATTAACATACTATACAATTTAAATCCAACATTAAATAACTAATTCATATGTGGTACAGTTTTCAAAGCACCTACATGATTTAGGTAAGCTCCATTTTCAACAGCAGTGAACATCAATGGGATCCTGTTGTATTTGATTAACTCTTAGACTCTTCAATCACTCTTGAAAATAGGATTTAGGCCTCTAAATCTCTTATGTAATTAGAAAATGTTACTATTTGTGCCTAATATTTTTGCCTCTGCAGCCTATGATGACTTTCAACCACATAATCTATAAAAATTGTTCATCTATATAATTGATAGTCATCTGTATCTCTTGGTAAGATGGGAGCAAGTAAACAGTATATATTCTAATATGTCCAAATGTATAATTATATATCAATGAATTATGCATGTAGGCCATACTTTGAGGAAGTAGGGAACTTTGTTCTATGAGGTAGGGACTCTGAAAAAGATTTGGGGGCCATTGAGGATAATCAGCTGAATACAAACTCCCAGTGTGATGCTGTGATAATTTAGGAGGAAAAGGTATAACAAGTTCTAATGGCTGGATATTAAAGCTAGATACATTTAGACTGGAAATAAGTGCAAATTTTTAACAATGGAGGTAATTAATCACTGGAACAATTTGCCAAGGGACAAGGTGGATTCTCCATCACTGGCCTGTGTTCTACTGATGATCACAGTGGTCTCTTCTGATTTTATAATCTATGAATATGTGAGTCTATATCATGGACTCTGCTATTATCACATAATGTTGTAAGAAGCTTGTGATTTAAGGCAAGACTATCATGAAATGTTTATTCATTCAAGTAATGTAACTTTTCATTAACTTACTATTAAAACAAATAGCAGAACTATCTCTCTTAATCTGATGTACATTATTTTTTTAAAATTCTATGTCAAGTTCCTCTACTGGGACAATTTTTCTTCCATCACAATGAGAAACTTAGTAAAGAAATTGTGAGGAATTTGTATGCTTCAGGACAGTACTGTTTTAAAAAAATGATATCTAAGTAATTGTTTTTCATTATTGTCAATAGAGCACTGCTTGCTGCCCAAAATAATTGTGATCAATTTGTCTCTATTCTGCCTTAATCAGCCTTCACAATATGATGCTCGGTCATATAAAGCAACACTGACACAACACCATATCAAATTTGTAAGCACATATTTGCAAGCCAATTGGTTGTAGCCACCTCTAGTTCCATGAGTGTAAGAGACACAGGAATTGTGAAAATATTCTTACCTATGCAAAAAAGTGAATAGGCCAACTCAGAATTTCTTGTCAGACTAGATGACACATCTCAGAATGAAGATGAGATTTGAATTGCTCATTTCACTTTATTTTGGTGTCTATTTTTAATTCCCCTCCCCATCTGTTTTTTCTTCACATTCATCCTTGCCTCTGACTTTGGCTTTGTCCTTTTATTCTGTGGCCCCTTTTGTAGCTTATCATCTTGAACCTCTCTTCATAATGGATGTCAACTTTCTTCTTTGACCTTTCTCGGTCCTGCTCTGAAATTTTTGTGAGTACCGAATGACGAAGTATTCACTGAGCGGGTGAATTAATTCAGTTTGGACATTAAGAGCCTGATCTAGCAAAGTGAAAATTGAAGTTGATATGGGAAACTCTAAGTAGAACTAATTGTATCTTTGCATTGTCAAGAATTATACCTGTCAAGCTTTTTAAAACTACATCATGGGAATCGTTGGGAGCTGTCATGTGAATCACTCAACACATTGTAGAATTGTGACCTAAAAACATTGTTTCTGCAGCTCAAAGGAACTGTACCAGCTTGGACAGCAGGACTGATAAGGTCACTCCTGGACCTAGATCTCTTTTATAATTCTCTTTTCAAATTACGCTAGAAAAAAACCTCTGATTTCATATGGATGCCTTGTTTTTCCTTGAGGGCAAATGATAGCTCTATCCTTCTAAGTGCACTTGTGCCCTTGAGGCTCTGAATAGACTTTGTGTTGCAGGTGGATGGACACTTATAGTGTGTGCAGTGCCCAGAAGGAACATTTGTAGTATGCTTAATAATTGAAAGGTGCAAGTTGGAAGAATGTCTTGGGTGGTGCCAATAAGAAGAAAGTAACCAAATCCTTGCTGTGTTCCAGGTACGAATGAATAAAATGGAACTGAGCTTAATCTGTGTTTGCTTTCCTACTCATTTCCCCTTTTTTCCTGGGACAGAAAAGAACCTATTGACCTCATGTTTACACTGTGGGCTTTTTCCAGGATACCGGAAAAAGGTATCCCAGAAAAACCCCACTGCATCCAGGGAACGTGTTTGCTCTTCCACTCTTTTTTACAGAAGAGCAGACGCGCTCTTTTGGAAGCCCCGTCTTCCTCATCCCACGAGGAAGAAGGGATCTTCCAAAAGAGGGGATTTTCTGAAATTTGGCCCAGTGTAGACGGGCCAAATTTTGGAAAAAAAAAAAAAAAAAAAAAGAAAAGAAATGGGAAAAAGCTGTAGTGTAGACCTAGCCTTTTCTCAGGGAACGAGAAAAGAAGTAGTAAATACTTGCTTACTAACATTTATGTGGGCCGAAGGTCAGATATGGATGGAAAAAATAAGAAGAGTTCCTTAAAAGAATGCAGCCTTAAAGCAAGGCAATAGACTTCCCTCCACTGGCCACTTCAGAGATTTGATTTGATGTTTTGACCAACAACATCTAAATCCAGATTTTTCTGAGGTCAACATCTAAATCCAGATTTTTAGGAATCTATGCTAAGAACATGCCCTGCTTCTTCGGTTTGTGGGAGCAGTGAGTATCAGCACCTAATATGCAAGCATTTTGGTGCCTAAGTGGGGATTTTGGTGCCTGATTTTAAGTACTTAGAACTGATTATTGTGCTTCATAAGTTGCTCAAGAAATTAAGGGCTGAGGGACTGCCTGGCCTGCCCTTGTCAGAACCGCTGGGCAATGTGCCTTCATTAGAAGTAGGAAACACTGAGTGAAGAAGGTAAGGGCTAATCAAATCAAGGTCACAGTTTCATATAGACACACTACTTGTGAGGGCTCTGCTCTACTAATTTTTCATGCCCCCCCCCCGACATATCTAAATGCCCCATCATTTGAACCTCTATAAACTGGCCAACACTTGTGCACTTCAGACAGATTGTTTCAATGACTTCTGAGCACCCTTAATGTTGGATTTTGTTACCTTGAAAAAGTGGGATCCATCAGTTACTTTCTCCCATGGAGTTTTGCTCCCCTGTGGTGTAAAAGCTACAGATGAGAAGTAATATGTTACTCTGCGTGAAAAACCGGGAGGAAAAATTAGTTAGTGTCACAGAAGGGAAGGTTTGATCAAACAGCTGGGAACCATTACTTCAAAAATCTCTTTCAGGTTTTTTCAGTTATTCATGGCAACAATTACTTATCTGATTCATGAATAAGAACTTTTGTCAGGGAGCCAATTAACTTGGGCCGTGAACCCCTGACCATTGTTCCCACTAAGGTGTGCATCTGTGTGGCTGTGCACAAAAATGTCTTTTCCTGCCCAACTCCTCTGGAGAGCCGCACAGCAGCACTCGCACAGCAGGTGGCTGCTCTAGCTGAGACAGTGTGGTGAGGGAGCCACTGGGGCAATAGTCCAGAGCCTCCCACAGCCGTGTGGCTGGGTGTGCGGGGGCCTGCGGGGGGCTCTGTTGGGGGGGTGGGCGCTGCCCCATGGTGGGGGGGGGCCAGGGCTTGTTCCGGTGGCTGGGGCCAGGAATGGGACATGCTGCATGGGGGGAGAGGGGGAAGAGGGGCCCAGGAGTGTGTGTGTGTGTGTGTTAATAAATTGGGCACCATGGTAGCACATATCCAAACCAGTGCACATGACCTCAATATTGGTGCACAAGCCAAAATTCACTTTGCTCTTGGTTGGAAAATCTTGGAACACTGCCCCCAACCCAATTTTTTTACTTAATTAATGGGTTGGGTATAGCCATAGTAAAGGCCAAACAGAGATGCACATTTTTAGACTGCTCCTCTGAACTGTTGTTTTAAAATGGTTAGGTCCATAAGAGGCTATTAGCCAGGGGTGTCCCTGGTCTCTGTTTGTCAGAGGCTGGAGATGGATGGCACAAGACAAATCGCTTGATCGTTGTCTTTGGTCCACCCCCTCTGGGACACCTGATGTTGGCCACTGTCGGCAGACAGGCTACTGGGCTAGATGGACCTTTGGTCTGACCCAGTACAGCCATTCTTATGTTAAATATGCCAGGATTTAGAGTGGCCTGGGTTGATGGGCCGCAGCCTTTTTGAAGGAGCTTCAAAAACTTAGGGCCTGGGATTAGTTTTGGCTGGAATCTCTCAAAGTTGCACAGTGCCTTAGCAGAAATACACTCAGAGGGTTATCTGGAACTGAACTTTCTCTCAATCATCTATTTTCCCCTGAGAACTACATAATGCTGAAAGTAACTCATGGCAAATTTACAGCTGGCCAGTTTGAATTAATTTAAAGAGAGTCTGATGCTTGAAGATTATGAAAACCATCAAAAACTGAAAAATGCAACTCTGCTCAGTCTCATACCTCAGTCAGGGGACAAGTGACATTGCATGTCATGGTGCTTTTGTGTCCAGAGGTTAGTGGGCAGAGACCTACCATCATGAGTAGCTAATTTTTATTTGGGTAGCAGAAAAATAAAGGTGGAGAGGGGCAAAGGCATACTATTCAGATGCAAAGCCTAGATGTTTTGCTACCTATAACAGTAATGATCATCATATTTCAGATGAAAAAAGCCTGTTATTATATCTCAAGACATAGGCACTGACTCTGTACATGCAAATGAAGCCGGGATTTAAATATCAACATTTAAATATAAAAAAATTAGGAGTACAGGATCTTTCGAAAAAGTGACACATTGTCAAAAGAACTGTGTCTAAATAGTGGTTTCACTTTCGAAATGGTGCTTGTTTGAAATAGCGCCATGACGTGATTATGCAAATATAGCACGGGATATTTAAATCCTGGCTTCCTTTGCCTTTTCGAAACATCTAATTTACATCCCTCTGCTGACAGAGGGGTGTAGTCTAGATGTAGCCTAAGTTTTCTGGAGCTGGAGCACCCACAGAGAAAAATTAGTGGGTGCGGATCACCGACTGGCCGTTTGGTCCTGCCTCCCACTCTCCTGTTCTCTGTACATTGGTGGTTTTACTTACAAACTTGTCCCTGCCCTCCTAGCAGCTCTTAAGGCTGCCTGGGGAGGCGGAGATGCTGTGGTCTGGGTGGCACTGAGGGCCAGGTGGCCTCTATTCCTACTCCTTCTGCCAGAGGACTCACCCCTTCCAGGAACACCAACCTGCCCACCCCTACCTTGCCCAGGGGCCTGGTGAGGCTGTTTGCTCCCTTGGGTATTATGCTACTTTAACATAGGGAGTGTTATGGAGTGTTAGGTTCTGGACACTTCAGCCGTTTTTTCAAGCCTGACAAAGCTTTGTTCTGCTTTTATTTATTTTCTGCCTTCCTGTTGAAGCACACTTGCTTAAATAAATCTAAATATGATGCTTCCAGTCCATTTATTTCATAACAGTGAAGTCTACATGCAGGTTTCCTCATGTGCAGATGCTAATTTAGTTAATTGCCTCTTTTGTTGTTGGCTTGTGATTTAGGATTGTGGTTTAAGGGTTTTTTGTTTTTTTTAAAGCAGTGATGTTGTTGCTGTATGGGTCCCAGGATATAAGAAAGACAAGGTAGACCAGGTAATACCTTTTACTTGTTCCAACTACCGATGGTAGATGGGACAAGAGTTTGAGCATCACAGATAAACATCATGGCCTTGAAGGAGGTTACACAGAAAAATGATACAAAAAACCACCCTGCCACTTGTGTGTGAACACTTTTTACAAAGTAATTACTTCCTCGCTGACTTGTGACTCCATGCTGTGAAAGGAAATCTGCATAACACCTTCAGAAGACAAGTTTGGGAACTTAAATTCTTGATTCTGCTAGCCTCTTAAAACTATGGGGTAAACAGAGACAGCAGTTTCATGCCTCATTATAACAATTTGTAATGTTAGCACACCTGTTGCCTGCTAACCCTTAATTACCCACTTCATTTAAAGTGGTCTCCTGTACCATATGTGAACACCTTATCCTCAATAACCTATTCCAACTTGTGCTTTGCTCAGAAACTCCGGTTACTTTCCACAAAGCTGAAGATGAGTTCTATGAAGTTTGAAAGTTTGTCCTTTTTACCAACAGAAGTTGGTCCAATATAAGATACTACAACCAGGGTGGGCAAATACTGTCTCGTTGGCTGGAGCTGGTTTGCCAGGGTTAGCCATTGGCAGGCTTCCATTGCTACATTTACCTGTCCCCCCTCAGGTATGATAATGCAGCTCCTGTTGGTTGCTGTTCCCTGCCAATGAGAGCTATAGGAAGCGGTGTCCCGGTCTAAGTTAATATAATGGGAGCGGCTACCAGGAGCTAACCCTGGTGAAACGTCCCTGTTTTATTGCGAACCTCTCTACTAGCACATTTACATGGGATTGCTCAGGTCCTTAAGAGGGGCTCAGGACAGGGGGCAAGGGATGTGGAGGCTGCAGTAGTTATAGTTGTAGAATGAGGAGGACAGGGGATTTTGTGTGTGTGTATGTGGAGGTGGGGGTGGGAAGCCCCTCCCCCTGAGATTTGTACTGGAGCTGATTGCTAAGTTATGATAAGTGGAAGCTGCACATCAAATGTGGTGGTACTAGCTCTTACCATTTAGGAGGAGTTTTTGAACAGACAAACTCTCAAACATGTAGTAGATTATTACCTTGCCTACCTTGCCTCCTTTGAGTATCTGAATAGACTCAGAAGAAAACTGTGCCTGTTGCTTCCATTTACAATCATCCTACTTGAAGTTTCTAAAGCCCAAAGAAGAAGAATTGAAATAAAGCTATGCTATTTTAACAGGAGTGGACATAATAACTGAAAAGGACCCACACATCTCATGTGGGGTCCTTCCTCACACAGCTCTTCTGTTGAGTTCAATGGGAATGTGGTGTAAGTATAAACTACAGGATTAGTATAGTATTGTACTTCACCTGTTCTAATGCCATCTGCCTGGCAGTAAAGCCGTCACACTGTAGATAAAGATTGCATACT